GGGGGGGGGGGGAACTCCTTGATGAAGATGCACACCACTGGCAGGACAGGCCTGCTCGGTCCAGGATAAGTAAAGCCCCTTCCTCATTCCGCAAAGCCCGCCACCCACGAGAGGCCTGGCCTGTGTACTCAATCCCAGAGCTGTGACAAGACCCAAGAATGAGGAGAGAGAGGGTCCTACCATTTCCTGTCTTGAGGCACACAACTTTTTCTACCCCCTCCAACAGACATGAGCAAACACTCCATTATACACCCCGATATGGAGTGTGCCTCTCTGTCTCCCGGGTCCACCCTGTCCCCAGCCCACCCTGTCCCCCACTCCCACTCCAAACCCAGGACAGAGCACGCACAAGCAGAGACACATGCAGACTCAGAGAAGGACACTCCTTTCTCCATGTACAGTCAGTAAAGACCCAATTTTGTCACAGAGAAAGGAATGAATTTAAGTCACCCGTTACCTTGCTAGGGGATCGATATGCCCCTCGGCCCTCAGGGTCCATCTAGAGGGTGGGGCACAGGGCCCAGCCCCCTGACTCACAACCACCTTCCTCTCCCATCCTCTGGCTCATTGTTCATAAACCCTCATCATCTCCCCTAAGCAAGGTTAAGGGCTAAGGATAGAAAATTTGCTTCTGTTATTGTAGAGCCAGCAGGACCACTTCTGCAACATTCCCTTAGGAGCCCAAGGGGGACTTCAGGAGCGAATGGTAGTGGGGTGGAGGCTGTGGCAGATGGTTGAGACCAAACAGGTAGTTTTTTTTCCCGAAATAGGTTTTGGGTCCACCTGCCTCAGAGTCTTTTGAGAATATATATCAAGGACGCGGAGTCTCGGATCCCACCCACATCCGCTAAGTGAAAGTTTCCGAAGGTGGGACCCAAGAGCCTGCATCTCTAACGAGCACCTGCTGTGTGGAACACACAGAGACTGGGACCCACAGACCCCCAGGGTGGGATGGGGAGAACCACGAACACGTACCTGCACCGCGGAAGCGCCCACACGCCCACCTCGAACCAAGAAGGGCGGAGGGCCGACTCGACCTCACATCTCCACTCCACGTTTTTGGAGGTAAATCCAGACACGGGTTCCCAGAGAGCCTGACCATCCACCCGCCACCTGCACGGGCCTACCTGTGTGCGAGCGCAGGTGACGTTTGAGGGCGGTGTGGCTGGGGAAGGTGCGGTTGCACTCGCTGCAGGTGTAGCTGCGCACGCCCGCGTGGACCTCCATGTGCTGCTGGAGCGCGCTCTGAGCCTGGAAACGCTTCCCGCACAGCAGACAGAAGACAGCCATGTCTGTGCCTGTGGGAAAGAGGAGCGGGGAGAGCCTCAGGGGGGCGGAGCGCAAGGCCATTCTTTACTCGTCCAGGTCCAGACGAAAGAGCAAGAGCCAGGGCCAGGACCAGTGCCTCCAATCCCTCAAGCTCAGGGGCAAACCCAAAGGCACACCCAGCGTTGATGGAGCACCCATTGTGCCACTGCAATGGTGGACAACATCAACTTACCGCTCACCCTCACGGAACCTAAAGAGAGAGGAGAAAGAGAGGATCGGATGCGTTGCAACAATAAATGTGCATCAGCGGCCGCGTGTAGTGCTGTGTCAAAGGCAGGGTACTGGGAAGTCAGGGTGGCCTCTGTGAGGAATCACGGTAACGAAGACGGTATGCACCCAAGCCATTGCTCGAACATAAGTGCTTTAAAATCCCATCTCTACCACCTCACCTTTCAGATAAGGCAAATGAGGCACATAGACAGACTGAGCAACTTGTCCAAAGCTCCCCCAGAGTTCAGAAGCTGCAGACACGCCGTTCGAACGCCGGCTGCCTGGGTCTCAATCCTCTCCGGAGGCTAGCCACAGACTCTATTCTTTTCTTTTAATTTTTTTTTAATGTTTATTTATTTTTGAGAAAGAGATAGAAACAGAGTGTGAGCAGGGGAGAGTCAGAGAAATAGGTAGACACAGAATCTGAAGCAGGCTCCAGGCTCTGAGCTGTCAGTACAGAGCCCAATGTGGGGCTGGAACCCACGAACCGCGAGATCACAACCTGAGCTGAAGCTGAGCTTAACTGACTGAGCCACCCAGGCACCCCAACAGACCCTATTCTTTTAACCAGCTCTCTTTTCCTTTCACTTAAGAGTCCATTCATTCAACAAATATTATTCTAGTACCTTCTATAAGGGGCACTCTCTTTTGGGCACTGGGGATATAACCATGGAAAACTGGACAAAGTCTCTGCTGCCGTTGTAGATGTCACCCCGCACCCGGGAGAGAGCATCCCTGAACACTCTGGAAAGAAACGTAGTTGATCGGAGGATCAGAGAGAAGAACAACACAGCTGGAGAGACGGGGAGACAGTGGAGGGGAAGGCCAAACCAGCAGGCAGGGCCAGGTCATGTGGGGTCTCGAAAACCACGTGAAGATGTTTAGGCTGCGTCCCAAGACCAATGGGCAATTGTCAAAGGGCTTTAAGCTAATGAGTGCCATGAGATTTCCATTTCACTCTGTCTGGTCATTCCCTGCACTCATCAGAAGCACAGGTGAATTATGGTACCCTACACAAACAGGCTGCCATTTTCTATTATCAGCCCGCGTTCTGATCAACCTGTTCTGGAACCACAGCCATTCTGGGTACAGCAGCCCATGAGGAAGCATCTACACCCACCATCTGAGTCCTAACTGGTGGCTCATTGCCCGCCATTTTGGATCCTGTTTCCCTCAGCGTGTCAGCTCCCCTGGGAAACTCATCTCTCCCCTCTTGGTGGCATCTGGGTGATATAACCTGTGCTCAGCCCTGCATCGCCCTGCCCTGTGTGAAGGATGCAAGTAAGTGGGAAGGGTAGACAGGCCTAGCATCTGTCAACCCAGCCCAGAGGGGTAGGAAGGGCAGAGCTCTGCCTATTCTGTGTGGAATCAAGGAGCTTCACATAGGTAGTGGGGTGAAGAGAAGGACAGCATGAGGACCTTGCTGCCTCCTGGGTCGCCCAATGGAGACAGCAAAGCGGTGGTCCACTCTCGCTGCCTCAGTCCCATTCGTGGCTGGGTTTAAGATGAACTAGTGGGAAGGCCAGACCTTCCCCTCCCTTCACAGCCACCCCTGCAGATGCTCAGAGGCCTGGGCAGCTGGAGCCATGCTCCATCCTGCCAGCAGTCGCTGCCTGCATCCAGGTCCAGGGAAGGCCAGGCACAAAGCAGGAACGCGGTTTCGCTCCTGGCCTCAGGGCGCACAAGGGAAAGGAAGAATACAGGTGTTGTGCCGCTGCTTACCAGTGCCGCCATCTCATTGAAAACTTGCAACCAACCCCACTAGGCAGGCATCCTCCTCCCTCTTTTTTACGAATGTAAAAACAGAGCGGTTAAATAACCTGCCTAAGGTCACACAGTCCGAAGAGGCAGAGCTGGGATTTGAAAATGCCCAAGGTCTGTCTGACTTTAGAAAGCACAGGGCCAGGCCCCTATCTTCTTCTGGGTGTGCAATCTGTCCAGGCCTCTCCTGGAAGGGGCACAGTGATGATGCCAGCACACCAGCACTAACCCAGCTTGGTCCAGGGGCCCCAGGGCCTGCAGGGCCCACTCTGGCAACAGCGAGACCGCCGTGGCCAGCGGGAGGGGACCGCAAGCGGAGTCACAAGGTACAGCCCTCTGAAGCCTCCCAACCTCCGAGGGCCAGCAAGAACCCCAGGAGGTGCCGGGGTGCTCGGCTCCACCTGCCTGAGGGGGTGGTCTGTGGGACAGTGAGCGGCCGGTGTCCGTCCAGCAGGTGAACACGCCCATGGGGGCAGTCCATCTGCAATGTGTGCAGTGAGACAGCTGCCCTGGCTGATTCATCCCAAGGGCCCCAAGCACCGGCCCCGATTAAGCCAGATGTCAAACAGCTGCCTTAAACTGGTCAGCTGGGGCAGGCCTCCTGGGCCAGTTAAGCCCTTCAGCGGCCCACAGTGCTCCTTCAGCATCCCCTGAAATCCCCGGCTGTGGAAGGTGCCTGGGTCAGAGGGACCGTGACAGTCCCAGTAGGATACCCCAAGCCTAAAAAGCCAAGCCCAGAGGAGTTCCAAGGGCTGGTACACCCAGCAGGACTGACTGGGGATACCGCAGCTCTCTGCCCTCTTGGTCTTCCGCAGGCTCCTCAAAGCTGCCCCCACTAGGCCATCCATACTTCTCAGGATGGCCTGGACCCTCTTCGTGTCCGGCCGGCACACTCCATGAACGTCACTAAGTGTAGGCACTGTGCTAAGTGACCAGGGGGATGCTGAGTTCAAGCACACAAATAGGGACCCAGACTAGTTCCCAGGCAGGTCGATGACCCACCAGGGGACAAGACAGGGTGACCCCATGAAAACTTTGGCTTTGAGAAATCAAGAGCATTAAGCAGCCAAGGAGCCGGAGGAGGGGTCCAGGGGCCGGGATAAGCAAGGAAACACCTCAAGAAAATCTCGGAGCAGGCAGACACAGGACAGACGCTGAGGACGGACACAAGCAGGGGACATTAGTGGAGGGTCAGACCACCGGGGCCACATCGCCAGGTGGGACAGATCACACTTCATGCTACAGGCTATGCGATGCCAGGAAAGCACGGGGGTGCTGGCATGACCCAACCTGCATGCGAGGACAACGCCCCCAGGGTCACGTGGGGACCAAGAGCAGCAGCAAGTGATCGGAAGCAGGCAGAGAGCGGATGGCTTTTTTGACAGCACTGGAGGTGGGTGGGGACGAGACTCGGGTACGGGCTATGAGGACTGGAGGAGGGGGAGAGAACTGAGGTCCGGGCTGGAGGTGGGAAGCATGGTATACCTACAGTCCCGGATGGTCAGCTCTGTGCCAGGTTTCAAGTTACATAATCACCACGCGGGAAGGAAAGGCTGCAATGTCCCTGCAAAGGTCCCACTCCCCTTCCTGGGACATCTCACGAGTCTCAGGGGTCTCCTTGGCCACTGACACACCGGCCTCGGTGCCGAGATGAAGAGAAGGGGCCTCAGAGGCCCCGTATCCACTCTCCCCTTCCTTCTGTTTGGAGACCAACAGCTGAGGAGATGGAAAAATGTTTAAAAAGCAAAAAGGAAAAGGTGGCGGGGGGAGAAGTGGAAGAGACACAAGAGAAGCCAGTGGTGCATGCAAGCTAAAAATCTAGAGACTAGATTTGAGTTATTAAACAATTTGCTGTAGTTTCTGCCTAGCTGATTGTTCGCATGTATGATGAGTCAAGGCAGATTCTATTACACTGGGAGATTAAGCAAATAAATGCTAGCTTTTGGAAACACATTAAAACGTGGGACTATGGAAATAAAATTATCTAGAAAATTGTATTAGCAAATTCATTAGCTGCAGTGAGGTGTGCAGCCGGGCAAGAGGGCCGGGCAGTGTTAAAACACTCGGCTCCTTTCAACGCCTGAGCTCCAGACATACTCGGTGCTCTTTCTGACGCTACAGAGAGACTTCGTGCCCGAGACCACACTGGGGAGACAGGAGGAGGCTCCACTGTTGGCAGAAAATCTTCAGTAATCATACTGAAGGAAGACAAAAGCAGCACAGAGGTCTTGGTCTGTCACTCGCTTGCTCTGTGATCCTGAGCATGTCACTGAACTTCTCTGGACCGGGCTGAGCTCATCCTTTGCCACACCGCCTGTAGTTGCTGAGATGGTGACGAACGAGATACTCGTGAGAGTTGCAGAACGATAAAGTGGTAGCCAGAGCCACTACCGGCCTGGACGACGCCCCTGTCTGACTTAGAAAGTCATGCCCCTTCCTCTGGGCAGACACAGACGGTCACCTTGGGTGCACAGCTCTCACAAGCAAAGAGGCTGGATTCTAGCCTCCACGTCCCCCCCTTAGCCTGGGCATCCTCCTGCAGCAAGTGAGCTGCTTAGGGATCACCACAGCCCCATACAACATACGAGCCTACATTGTTCCGTCGACTCAGGGCGGCTGCTTCTAGGAGTGCACTCTAGAGAAGGCATCCTGGATGAGTTACACCATTTAGGACTCAGGGCCAAGAACATCTTCTTCCTCTAAGCCTTCATGACTACAGCACATAAAAGCCTCTGATGCATTTATTTTTGACACTCAGTTCGGCCTAAGAGATTGTAAACCCTCTAAAGCAGGAGCTGTTCGCTTCATCTCTGTGTTCCCCAACACAGAGCGCAGGGCCCAGCACAGAGCAGGCACTCACTAACTGCATGGTGCATAAAAGAGTAAGTAAGGAGCTGGGAGACAAACCGCAAAGGGCAGAGGGGGCGGGGGGTAGGGGCAGTCCCAGTGCAGACAGCCAGATCCGAGAGCTGAAGCAAGCTCAGACCAAATGAAGCCA